ATCATGGAGGGGGCGCCATAATGTGAAATCCAGTGTTCCAAAAAGGCGTGCGCAACCGAATCCGCAGTTGGATTAGGTATTGGTGTTGCAATGGGCCATCCGGTAAGACGGTCAATCGCCGTAAGCAAATAGGTGCAACCACGGGATTCTGGCAAAGGACCCACCATATGGGCAAAACGTGTGTCGCATGCAAGAAAGGTGCCAATGGAGGCTTTGTTGCGCTGTCCGACTTTGACCTTCTGACAGGCCAAACTTGAACGGGTCCACTGGCAGATATCAGTGTTCATGCATGGCCAGGCGAAAGGCTCACTGATGAGGCTTTGGGTGGTGCGGATGCCAGAGTGAGCACTACAGGTCGGGAGGCACCGCGCGATACGACACGCAAGATTGTACCGGGGGTTGGGGACAAAGGAGTGGCCTGGAGTGGAAGACTAGTATGTGCAAGACTTTCAGTGAAGGGCGGCTAGTTTTGCAGTTCTGCTATGCACTCCACTTCGATAGAAGGGCGGACGATGGCATTAATTCCAGGCCGAGAAAGACAATCGGGGACTTGATTATAAAGGCCTTTAAGAAATCTGATATCGGTGGTGTACTGAGAAATAAAGTCAAGATGGTGGGCCTCATGGGGTGACTAATTGTCGGAGGAAGTGGAGGGAGCATAAATAAGAGGTTTGTGGTCAGTACAAATGCAAAAATAGTACGCTATTATGTGCTAAAACGTGTGAACACCAGTGATAGGCTGGCTATTTGACATGACGTGCCCGGTCAAAGTTCAGTTAGTGAGGTGCGATCGATGGGGGGGATTAAACACAAGCCTGGTATTGGGTAACAATAACGCGGCGTGAATTAGTCAATCGAAACGGCCGAGAAAATGCATCCCGTGAAATAAAGGGAAAGGATCCGCGTTTAAATTGCTAACAGGTAAGTGAAATCGAAGGCGCGATGCAAAAGTCGGGTCACCAATGTGGGATACAAAGTACTATATCCAAGAATCTAAGATAGAAGCATCCTAACAGTTATAAACTAGTAGATAAGAACAAAGACGTTGGCCGGTAAAAACAACGTGCTCATTAGCGTCTTATTTAAAGTTGTGGCAAGTTACTTACAAGGCATATTTAATTGAGTGAAACAACAAAGGCTGTTTAATGTCACTACATTGTGATAAAATGAGTATTCCGTAATTATTCTGCAGTCGCTGGTGGACTTCGACACAAATATTCAGTCTGCGCCTATAGACCCTAAAGTATACTGATTTGCCCTCAATTTGGGGATTACTTTCGAATGAACTTAAAAAGTTAACAGTTCAAAACTAGAATATCTACCAGAAAGAATATGGGAATGCTGGGGAATCCATTGATGAGGCGAACCCCTCGCAGCTGTGTAATTCAGCCGCAAAATATCGACGAAAC